TTCCACTCCTGACAATGTTAGCTCAATTTCGTCCATGTGACAACGTCCTTCCCAACGCCTTGACCGAAATTGGGGCCCTTGGTCAGCATGCATATGCTCTGGGTGCCGCACATAACGCAAGGTCCATATGTCCTGGTAAGTAGTCCATAGTTCATCAACAGTTTCGCCAGAAAGAAACGCGGCACTCTTGAACTTACTATCCTTATCCACACAATGGAGGACAGGTCTCTGGTCCAGGAACATGATGTCTATGCAGAGTACGCGGTTGAAAACAATGTCTTTGTGTGGCAACGACACACGGAGGCGACTTGGAGCACGACTTAGTGCTTGACATACATCGTATTGAGCTGTTATATCCTCCAGTTCCTGCAAGTCTTGAGGAGAACATTTCCCAGGATCGGCACGCTTTATGACATCATCAAGCCTATCAGAGTTGGGACGGAAGAAGTGGCGATGCATTTTCCTTAACTCTTCAGTAGTGTAGAGCATGTTTGTTGGCCATTCTAGGGAGAGATGTCCTTGTTTCCTAACGATGGGCAACTCCCAATCTCCAGGTGCAGACGTAAGCAGGTTTCGGTGCACATCAACCTTCAAGCCGTACAGCTCAAGGAAGTCAAGTCCCAGAAATAAGGGTACGTTGAGGTCTGCAACTTCAACTTCAGTGAAAATAAACTGACTCTCAGTTATTGGAATACGAATGTACATCGAGCCAAGCCGTTTGTATCTCTTTTCACCAAATTTATACACACGAGGATTACTTAGCCTTTTGAGACGTAAGGTCACGCCTCTGACGTTGCAGTATGCTGTGGCTTGCGGCGTGCCAAAGACAGATCCCTATGCACCGGTGTCGATGCATGCTCCGAGGAATTCTCCAACAGCACTGAATTATGTATCGCTCAACTCAATTACTGTGTCGTTGTGTTCGTCGAACTCGTTCAACTTGGTGTAGAGGAGATGTTCAGTTGCGGAATTCCAAGTGACCTTCTTCGCTGCTCTTTGGCCAGTCGGAGATGTCCTCGAGAAGTTAACGTTGACATCTTCAAGCACGCTCTCAAACAAATCCTTTTCTGGTGGTGCCGTGGGATCCATCCGACTCGGTTGAGTCGTTGTGGTCAGTTCCGTTCACCTGGAGGCTATTATCCATCTGGTAACATACTTCCGCAAGTACCAGTTGAACGTTGGTGGACATTGCCCCCTTCTTCTTCGCGTAATACTCAAGCTTGCTCGATGCAGCTTTAGCAACATTCAAAGGATTGGGGCAGTCTTTCAACATATGGTTGGGATTGCTACAGTTAAAGCGTCCGGAAACGGACAGGGGATCGAACTTTGGCACCTTCGAAATAGTTCCAGATGAAACTGCTCGACGTCCGCGTGTGTTAACTTGTGAAGGTTTACGGCCATAGCGACCCTGACCTGTATACAACATACCTTGTATGTCCTCACCATTAGCTACAGCATCACTTTGGTGACCCGCGACTTTGTCGCGAATCTGAGCAACTTGGGATTCCTTCTCGAGCTGCAGGGCGTTTTCAAGTTCGCCATATAACTCCTCAAAGGAAAGACTGTCTGTGGCGATACGAGTGAGAGGATCTTTGGACCATTCGTAACCCACCACAGAATGGTGGAGGAACTCTATCTTATGAGCTTCCCCTCGATGCGAGGCGGGGGCGTGTCGGGCAAGCTTGTTGATGACATTATGGACTTTAACCAAAGCCTCTAATACCTCAAGGCCCTCAGAGATAAACTTGGTAAGTCGCAAGGTATTGAGGTAATTATTCACCATCGTCTAGCGCACCTTCGAGTTATATTCAGACTCGACAATGTCTACAGTTTGGTTAAAGCTGGTTGCATATCCGTCTACGTTGTCAAGGTAAAAGCGTTTCGCATCCTGCCTTAGTAGGTTATGCATATATTGAAGCTTCTGAGTTTGGCTGAGACCATAATCACGAGTTATTTGCTTATACTCGTCGACAAACTCCATCCAACATTCACCAATTGCTCCAGAAATGTTTCTGTCTTTCTCCTTGAGGCGCATGGCGACATCGTGGGCAACCGTGTCGGTAGAACTTCCTCGAGAATTAGCGGCTTCGGTTGCGGAAGGGGAGACAGATACAGGAGTGCGCAGATGGTTGACGTTCTCTCTATTACGACGACCTGCTGCCATGATGCTTTGAACAATATCAACTGCAGCCTGCTTGTCATCCTGCTCCTCATAGACATTTAATGTCTATGAGGAGCAGGAAGATTAGCCACGAATTTAGTGGTTAATGTCATCATGATGCGGTGAGATGAATGTTGGGTTAAATTACAACCTTTTGTGTCGAAGTAATTGCGTAGCTCCGGATAAATTGAGGGGAGTGCACGAATTTCCTTGCTGAATTGCACTGCAGGGGGAAACAAGTCTGCGAGAGAGCGAAGTAAATTCACACCCTCCTGACCAGAGTCGTCAAGGAGGCGCATAGACGTTACGAATCCCCGTTGAATTTCATTAAGACCAGAGAACGCTGAAGCGGATAGTGTTTGCATAAAGACGTCGGCATCTGCCGAGCCCTCTGCTCCTTCTGGGGCAGACGAGCCACTGGCTAGATCGGTCAAGGCGTAATGTGCAAGTAGTACAAAGACGTTGTGCGGTAAGCACAAGTTTGTTCAATCTTCTCTGGTTCTCTACCCTCGGATGTCCTTGTTAGGGTCCAACCTTCGGTGCCTATAGCTCCAGTAGGTAGACAAAGTCCGACTTTCGGCGCCCGGAGATCGTCCGGGACGATTAATGACTTCAGCTGTCTACCAAATCCTGCGTTAGAGGAAGGATGCAGGAAACTTTTGCGACGTCGGATACAAAATAGAGTGAGAACACCCACTCAGCGCACGACACCCCCTTCAATTCGCACGCCCGGAAAACCCGCGTCTTTCGACCGTAAACCGTTATCCGCCCGAAGGACCGGTGGGGCTCCGGCCAGAGAGGTGCACTCCAGGTTCAAGTCACCAGCTCACGTCACCAGTTTCCCGGGTCTACCGCTCTCGAGCAAAGTGTTCGACACTCTATTTGTCTCCGATCCCAACAATTCCCAATGAAAACTCCTTCAGTCTCAAAAAACCGGCAGAGTGGCGGCGACGCAGTGAAGTTGCGGCGGCGGCGCGGTGCAGCGGTGCGGCGGTAATATGGAGATGGCGCAGCGGCGGTGTGGTGGCGACCCGCGGCGATGCGGCGATAGTACGGCAGCGGCGCAGTGACGCGGTGGCGGCGTGGTTGAGGCGCGGCGGCGGTGTGGCAGCAGAGGCGCGGCGACGCGGTGGCGGTGCAATTGAGTCGCCGCGGCGGAGTGGCAGCAGAGGCGCAGCGAAGCGCAAGCGGTGTGATGGTGGCGCAGCGGCGGTGTGGCAGAAGCGGCGCGACGACGCAGCGGCGGTGTGGTTTGGAGAAACCTTAGTGACAATTTTTCCACGTAACGAAACTTGATTCTTGATTGATTTTGCACCGAATTGGACAAATATAATTGGCGGCACGAACGTGCCCTCTGAATAATTCCCAGACATCTTGATTCGCGAATGTAAAAATACTGAAAAATGAGGCTGGAAAATACAGTGATTGGAAAAAAACAGTGACACCGACGAACGGTGTTTTACTCATCTAGGTCTTCCGACGGACGGAAGCTTCTGACCTTGATGTGTTATGAGTATCTGCTTTTTTCGTTGGGCCCCCTCTTCTTCTCGCTAGTCGAGTCAGAAGCTGTTACGCGAGCGAACATCTCCAACGGACAGCACGGGCAGGCTTGAAGTTTGCCGTTTGTCTTCTGGGTCCAGAGACAGTGTTAGCACTGACAGTGTTAGCATAGATTTGAATTTCCTGGGATCAATCCTAAATGCGTCAGTATATGTAGTGCAGACCATATGAAGAATAAAGGGTATCTGATCTACAACAACTTTCCAGCTCTTTAGACGCCTACTCTTTTATACTACCCCAACCCAGTTCGCTTACATAAACCAAATTGCGAGGAACTACAATAAGACCATAAAAAATCGTTATAATCTCATACAAACAATAGTAAATCATCAATACGACGTGAAAGTTCAGTCCACACAGCAAATCATCATTACGAGGAAGATGCACCCGGTCCCACACCATTCGTTTCATAGGACAACACGCACAGTCACACCTATTCATGAATACCTCATATGTGACCTCATATGTGGCATGTAATCAACGATCCGGAGCTCGTTCCGAGCAATGGTATGCACTTATCGCGGATATTCACATAACAAGGATTCAGGGCCATTCCATTCATCGTGATTGGCATCATCGTGATTGGCAATCATGCAATCACGCGATCACGACATTAATTTAACGTCGTTCTGCATCTTTCCTTTCTCAAACGTGTGCTACTTATAGCTGTAAGCACATTTCCACGGCTCTGGATGGGCAAAGGTTTCAAAGGAGGTAATGATGGCACGGCAAAGAGAGTACCAAGGTGTTGGGGCGAAAACGGGGTACGTCGTCCCGTGTCTTACCCGTGTGTGTTTTTTTGTGATGTGTCTGTCATCGGCCGTACAGGACGACCGAAAACCACCGCATTTATACTCTTTTTGCGCGCGGTCTACAATTACTAACTTAAACTTCCAATTACTTACACTGGTCCCAACCACGTGTCACACAACCCCCCACTTAGGCAGGGCCACGGGCCCCGGCCACTCAGATTTTGCGTTTGATTTTAATTTTTCTTCACCCTCCAGCCTATATCAACACAGACCTCGGGCTCCGACCCCCCTTCCCTTCCTGTGGTATCTGCTGTCGCTCTCCGTTCGAATTTCTCGCTCCATCCCAGCCTCGGTTTAGCTCTTCCGACCTCCTGCTTCCTGCGCTGCTTAGCTCTCGCCGCTCTTCCGCGTTGCCTCCGTGGTCCTCGTCGTAGCTTAGACCTTCTGTTTCCCGCCAGATCGAGAGGTACGCAGGTGGGGTTTCAGTCCCCGTGTGCCCTCTTTGGCCCCCTTCGTAGCGTAATACGATGGCGAGGACCAAGCAGACAGCGGCGAAGAGCACGGGAGGTAAGCGTCCGCGGAAGCAGCTCGCTCTGAAGGCTGCACGCTTCGCCAGCCGCGACCACATAATGTTCGAGCTCTCATCTCGAGCAGATGTAACCAAGGTTTCCAAGACGGGCTCCATATTCCATATTTGGGTGGCCAGCGGGCATCGCCGTTACGCCGTAACAGAACAAGAGTTCAAAAGCCTTCTAGGAGATCATATTACCGCCCTGCTCCACCGCAAGCCAGATGAAGAGGTCTCTCTCGAAGAGATATGGCGTCTTGGTCTCACAGAGTCGTTGTCGTACACAAATCAGTACTGTATTATCGGCGACGGTGAGTGGAATATTGAGTCCATCTATCTCGACGTTGACAAGACGTACTATGGCGTCGACGCCGCAACCAACATTCCTCACCGTATTTTGCTATACACTCTAGCAATTTCTGGAACCGGGAATAGTACAACTCACAAGATTGTTGACGATCTCTTCCAGCTTTGGTGGGAGAGACCGAATTAGTGCCTTCTTAAGTATTGATCGTTTTTGCACCGATCAAAAGAGCAGGAGTCTGAAGATGATACATGGTCGTTCCAGGGCGGTCAATTCTCGGACTCCGATCTACCGCGTTTCCACACACGGGACCGTGCGGTTCCGAGATAATAGTGACATGTGCATCTCCGCCGCCGTCTGCAACGGTCTCCAACTACTAGGGTCTCCGCACCTTGCCGTCAAGTACTGGGATGTTTTAGTCCGCAACAGCCTCCTCTTTGAGAGGACCGGGTCTCCGTCGCGTCGAATCCGAGATTTCCATGACGCTGGAAAACACCTTAATCAAGATGAAGTCGCTCTCCGCGGGTCGGGTCTTCGTAGTCCATCTCTCGGACTCCTCTTGAGGCTCGACCCGGGTGTCTATGTCGCGACTTTAGAAGGCTTGCCCCACATAATGCACAGCATCTGCGTCTCGACCATACATTCCATTGTACTTGATTGTATGGAGGGGTTTCCGCTTTGGCCCTGCGCCGGCGCGGTCAAAGCATGCGTTGGAGCCGACGGGATCTTCGTTGTCGTCTCAGAACTGCGCTAAGTTCTCGTCGTCACCCCTTCCAAGAAGAAACGGAGCAGAATTGGACGCGCAAGCAGCCGCAGAGCACACAAGAAAGCCGCGATTCGGGGTTCGGGAAGTTCCATTCAGCATTAGAGGTCATTGGTGATTCCTATTGTCTCCATGAACCACTCTCTATCTACTCGTAGCAAGTATTCAGCACTTCATATGCATTTCATTATCTTTCCCTTCAAAGCGTAAAAATCCCTAGTCATTTGCCTCACTGAAGGTGCAACGGTTGCCTCCTGTAGAGGACCAGCCTTCTGGCATGTATCTCCTTTCTCGAGTAGCGTTGATGCGGCGACACTAGGGTGTACCGCGGATGGCGCGCACGAGAAACTCGGCATGGGCCATAGAACTTCGACAAGGCTATAGGCCATTTCGGCATGGACCCGAGGGCAGCCCCTTTTGCGACCAACATTCGTCGCCCACATTGAAAGTTGCTTCGCGACCGTCTGTTAATGTGGTTGCAGCTCTGCGCCCGATTATTCTTGTTGCCCGCATCGCCCTGGCTTGCAGGAGTTCCATTTCCCGGTGGCGGATCTCGGAGACTCCGAAGAGAGGCTCTTGGTCTCCAGGCGCCATCCTGGGCAACACCCCATAAAGCAGCTCGAACGGGGACAATCCCACCGCCATCTTCCTGCGACGGTATCCGTATAGGACTTGACGTAAAGCATCGTCCCACTCAACAATTGCAGGCGAGGCACCGAGAATCATCTTACGGACTGCTCTCTTCAATGTGCCGACCATCCGCTCTGCCCGTCCGTTCGACATGGGCGCATAGGCGAGCACGGTCTTCCACTTAATCCCGTTTCGTGCCATGAAGGTATTCAGGACCGACGCTGTGAAACATGTAGCGTTGTCCGAGACAACGACACGTGGTAACCCAAAACAGTGGATTATCTCTTCTTTCACGAACTTCAGCACCTCCTCTGCCGTCGAGGTGACGGTGGCCTTCGCAATTGGCGAGCCAGTCAGGTGCTTCACGGCAATAAGGATGTACCTCCCTCCAGAGGGCGTACGAGGCAATGGTCCCGCAAAATCGATAGAGTATGTATCAAATAACGGAATTCATGGGAAATCGAAGGGTGGTCTTGTACTTCGGAATTGGTGTGGCTTTCTGACAACCGTCACAACTCCGAACGTAGTCGTTCACGTCTCGGTGGACGGCAGGCCACCAATATCGGTCCAAGACGAATCTCTTCGTCGTTTGCAGATCCCAATGGCCTATTTCGTCGTGAAAGGCTCTAACGATCCTTCTGCAAGCCCCTATAGGCGGAATAGCGCGTAATCCATTGTTGGTCCTACGGAACAGTTGTCCATTACAAGCCATGAAACGTTTGGCGCTTCGGCGGTTGAGCCGACGTTGACGAACATCCACTTCCGTCATATCAATACCCCCGAGGTGCCTTGAAATGTCAATAAGATGGGGTTCCCACTCCATTTGCGCCTCTAGAGGATCCGAAACACTGCAGACAAGATCTTCCCCGTCGTCAGAGTCGACTCCATCCTCGCCCTTGGCTTTCAGGCGGGACAGGAAGTCAGCTGCACCGTTCTTTCCTCCCGAGCGGTACTTAATTTCGAATTCCTATTCTGCTAGGAAGTCCATCCACCTTGCCAACCTCCCGTGAATATCTTTCTTCTTAAAGGCATACTGGAGCTGTTATTAGCGTGAACTTCTGTGTTGAAAGCAGGTAAACTCGGAACTTCTTCAAAGCGAAGATCACAGCCAGGGCCTCTCGCTCACAGGCGGAATACTTCCTCTCGGCTGACGTCATCGTGCGACTTGCGTACTGGATGGGGTGGACTTTCCTGTCCTCTTTTCGTTGGGCCATAAAAGCTCCGACGGCGACCGAGGATGCATCAGTCTCCACGACAAAAGGTTGTTCGAAGTCCGGAAACGCCAACACTGGCGGGGAAGTTAACTTGAGCTTAAGCTTCTCGAATGCCTCCTGCATCTCCGCCGTCCACTTAAAAGTCCGTTTAGTAGACGTGGCCTCATGTAACGGAGCAGAGATCTCGGCGAACTTAGGAATGAAGCGGCGGTAGTATCCCGCCAGACCAAGGAAGCGACGAAGCCCTGTCGCATTGGACGGCTCCTTCTCCCTCTTAATGGCGCTGACCTTTTCGGGGTCGCGTTTGGGACTGTGCGAAGCTGCATTTTGAGATCCTAAGCTTCAGCCCGCTCGTAGCAGTCACCTTGCAGACTTCACGTAAGTGTGAAGTGTGCTCTTCAACGGACTTCGAGAAGACGACTACGTCGTCTAAGTAAACTCTCACGAAGCTAAGCCTTTGGAAAAGCTGGTCCATCATCCTTTGGAATGTAGAGGGGGCGTTCATTGAACCGAACAGCATCACCTCGAACTGAAACGTCCCAAAACGGCTGACGAAAGTCGTCTTCTCTTTGCAGTTCTCAGCCATCCGGACTTGCCAATACCCCGAGAACAAGTCAAGCGTTGTGAAGACCGAGCTCCCCTTTAAATCATCGAAGATCTCCTCGATCTTTGGCAAGGGCCAACGATCGGCTTTCATTTTGCGATTGAGGGCGCGGTAATCTACACAGAACCTGGGGTTTCCGTCTTTCTTCGATGCGATAACGATAGGAAAGAACCAGGGCGAAATGGAGGGGGTTATTATTCCCGCCTCCAACATCTTACGAAGCTCCTGACGTACCACTTCATTGTGGCGTGGCGGAAGCCTACGTGCAGCGTGATTAATGGGGCTTGGATCTTCTAGCTCAAACGAGTGAGACACGGGAACATCTGCCGGTCTTAAATCGTCGAGTGACCAAGCTACGATCCCTGAGTTCTGGATAGAATTCAAAATGCTCTCCCTGGCCTCGAAAGCCAGGTGGCGCAATTTCTCCCCGAGAAGGGCTACGTAAAGCCTTTCCGGGCCTTCTTCGTCTACTCTGCCATCTCCTTTCGCGTTTTCGGAGTCGGGCTTTAGGCCCTCTTTTACTAGATCAGGAAGACTATCCAATTCATCGTCGGCTCCACCCGGTAGCTTGGTGAGTCCCAAATCAGGTTCAAATGGTGGCTGGTCAAGAGTCCCCAAGACAAATTCATTGTCGCTTGTCGTAGACGAGCCAGGTACAGCCTCAGGGTCGGAGGTGAAATCCTCACTATCAGTTGAGGCTGCACTCTGTGAAACGTGTTCCACATCCATGTTGAGGCCTAGTGTGGTGGTATTCTCACCTACTGTCATCTGCACATGCTGCTTACCAAGATCAATGCATGCCTGTAGTCCCTCAAGGGTCGGAAGCCCTATGATCAGGTCGAACGGCGATCCTTTCACGACTAGGAAGTCCAACTTCACGATAAGTTCACCAAAAGATGTTGGTATCTGATGAAGCGATCCCAGACAGGGCGCATTAGCACCATCTGCCACCGTGATATGCTTCTCAGTCGGTTGCGGGGAGAGGAAAAGCTTAGACGCCAACATTGGCGAGATTATGTTCGGTACGCCCCCAGAATCTAACAGGGCTTGAGTCTCCGTCCCATAAACCTTCACAGTTACCAGCCGCAGCCTTCGAGACGTCGTATCGGCGTGACCTGCGAAAGCACGACCACGGACTTTTTGTTTCGCAAACAAGCGGCCTATCTCCTTCTTCGCCACTTCCGCATCGCCGCGAACAAGCTTTCCGAAAGTGAGTCCGGAAGATGCGTTTGCAAGCTCTGAAACGACATTATACTTCCTCACATACTCCTGGAGCGATGTTTTTCTGGTCACTTTCTTCGCTTTCTTCCTCTGGTGGGACCTCCTTGGCTCCGCCTGAAGTGGCAGAGCCCTCTTTTGCATCTCGAATGGTACAGACGGGTTCAGAAGTCTGGGAATGGACACCTCCTCCCGCGTTTTGTGCTGCTTGGGAAGAGGTTCCTCGTCTCCGTTTCTCTTAGTGACGGCTACGACTTCTCCGTCGTTCGTCTCGTCAATATAAGTGACTTGGGCATTCCCTGCACCTTCTGTCGCAGGTGCTGTGGACTGAGTCGTGGCTCCTGCCCTCGGCAGTGCCGTTCTAAGCCTGGTCCAACACGTCTCCTTTTCATGACCAAGCTTCCCACAATCCGAACAACGAGTGTCTCGGCGCGGATTAGAAGGTCATCGGCTGGCTCCATGCCCCGGTTCCTTGCAGAATGAGCAGGTTCGGACCTGGCCACCTTGATCTGCTGTCTGATTCTTCTTTACCAACAAAGAAAGTTCTGCTAGCCGTTCTGCTAGCACGTCCACTTTCTTTTCGATCGTGTCCGGCTCCTGGCGTGTGTCCGGTCTCTGTAGAATGCGCCTAGGCGCCGGAGGCTGAGATTGCCTAGCATTGTGTGCAGCCATAAAGGCTTTGCGGCCAGACACGAAGTCCTTAACGGCCTTCTTGAGCTCCCCGTACGAGATAGAGGCCCTATACAAGACGAACTGTGAC